AATTATTCAGAACGACCCGGCTTCGCATTATGCAAACTTTAACAACTGATCACGCATTGCGGCATGCAGACCTCATTTTTGAAAGAGTTCAATAAATAAAAGCAAACTTACAGTCAAAGTCCGATGTTCTCTTGTCTCGTAGATAGGTGAAAGGTCCCTCAGAAACAGTCCTCCTGGAATATGGACAGGAACACAGGTCCTCCAGAAATATGCACAGGAACACAGGATAGCTGACAGGTACCACAGCACACACAGGAGCATGGACAGGTCCCACATGGTCAGGTATACAGTATCAGCTTCCCAAACCTATGGTGTAAAAGAAATACACTTTCAGAAAAATGACAGGCCAAATTTACACACACTAGCAATATTCACAGAACATGCATGTCATTAAACAAGATACATCATACATTGTCATATTCACACATTTGTTCAAGTTCTTACTTTTGAGGTGGTGGCAACTTCAATACAAGTCTATGGTGTCAAAGGCCTCGAGCAGGCTCCACTACCTCCGTCTGCTGACAAAACAGGGCATGAGTGTGCAAGATCTCGTCCAGGTGTACCTGAGTCTCATCCGCCCTGTCCTGGAGTATGGCCATGTTCTGTTGGTCGGTTGCAGTGAGGAGCAGGCATGGAGAGGGTTCAGAGGCGCGCCCTCCGGATCATCTCACGTGGCGGCAGACGTTCTGTACCGACACTGCCGTCCCTGAAGGAGAGGAGAGAGGCCGCTGCTGTGTCTCTTTTCAAGGCCATGCTGAATCCTGAACATCCCCTGCACGACCTGGTTCCTGCCCAGAGACAGTCTGTCACAGGAAGATCGCTGAGGAATTGTCACAACATCACTGTTCCCCATGCAAGAACCAAACGGCTGCAACAGTCCTTCCTGCACTACACCATCAGACTCTATAACAACCTGCCTTGAACCTACACTAGTACTGGACTTTGCATAGCCTGATAAAGCAACTTTGTGCATATATGTTGTAAATAATTTTTATATGTGTCTTTTGTATATATGGTAGTTTATATGTATTATTTTTTCTATGTGAATGCTGTTTTCTTGCTTCAAATAATGTGACAAATTGTACCTAATTCAGGGGGATGCGCTTCTGCTCCCCCTGCTGTTGTACATTTGTTAAATGATGAGCAATAAATACAGTTGATTTTAAAAAAAAATACATTTGTATACTTTGTTAGTAAAGGTGAGAAAAGAGCACAGCAAAATTACAGTTAACTTTCAGTCAAAGGTTAACACAGAATATAAGGACCAAACAACACATAAATCACATAAAATACATCTCACAAATATCAAGATATCATATACGAAGACACACACATTGCAACAGATAAAGAGCATCATTATCATCATCAATAATAGTCGCTTATCAATAACATCATAGAATAAAATACCGTTCCCCTAGTTCTGAACAGTTACAACAGCACGTAGGAAATATATTTCAGATACAGACTGTACATTTGTCACAATTCAAACACAATAGTTTTGCAACAATCATGGCAAACAGCATGTCTAAGCTTAATCAAGATCATTCTGAATTTCAATAAGTGTTTTGTAAAATTAGACAAAATGTAAAATACAAATGTCATTATAACAAAAGATTTTTGAACTTTGAAATAATGCAACCAAGTAAATCCATCTGATGATAAACAATAACTCATATTAGTATCTAGCATCAGGTAAACACACTTAAAATTGTCAGAATATCATCAACATGTTTGAACATTTGGTCAAACACAAATAATGTTAGAAAAAATTAAAATGGTCGAAGTTACCAACAACACATAGAAATGCATTTAAAGTATGGACGCACAATTGCATCACAATTCAAACACTACAGTTTTGAAATAATCATGGATCAAGATCATTCTGAATTTTAAAAAAAAGTGTCTTGTAAAAGGCAATGTGCAAAATACAAATGTCATGATTTTAGACCATATAGAAGTGCAAGCAAGTATAATGATGAACAGCAGTTCCATACAATGACTTTACCCAGTGTTGGGTACCTTACAATCAGAACATCATCAACATGATTATATCAAACATTTGGTCAAACACTAATAACTGTTCAAAGACACAAAATGGTCAAGAACATATCCAATATAATCAGGTTACGTCCTGACAAACAAACATGAAAACAGAATCATAAATTGTCATTCTGAAAGATGTTCAAGAAATTCACAAGGTATATATAATGAATACAGTCAAAACATTCATTTGATGACTCCTCACAGTATTTGTAAAGTTCTGAAACATGCTTTGAAATGGGCAGCAGTGTATAGAAATGTCAAGAATGTGTCATCAAAAACATCCACAAAACACTGGCAGACGTACTACACATACATGATGAGTCTGAATATTTCATATTCAAATTTATGAAAGTTTTTAACAATTCTGGCTAAAATATTATTTTATTCCAAATACTGTAACTCAAAATTATCATAATATTAAAACCCCCTTGGTGACTTGAAATAGACTATCAATTTGACAATGAAGTTTATTTCAAGTTGGAAGGGGGAGGACGAAACAACTTTCTCCATCCCAGCTGCGTCTTCTTATCACTTAATATGCAAATCAATCTAGTTCTGGTGTGTTCTCGTATTATGCCACGCCACGATGCTTTAAAAACTCCGTCATATTTCTGTAATATTACGTCGTCTTTCAAAGTGAAAATGTTCCAAAGTGCTCACAAGGATACAAAGAACAAAGTTACGTACTACTCACCACCAAAACAGACGTTTCTCGTCTTCCAGGGACGAATTTTTATCAGAAGTTCCTCCCGCAGCCAAGATGTTCAGCCGCCATCTTGGAGCTTGTGAGTTCGCATAGACCCATGGGTAGTTCCCACCTGTTGTTCCTCAGCCGATTATTTGCATAAAGATAATCTAATCATTTCTGTCACATTTTGTCTTTTTTTCTGTTTGTGACGATAAAACAGAAACTGTGGCATATCATCGGACACAGAATATTCATGTTAACACTTTCATGGAAGGGATAAAGGAGGACACGTCAGATGTAACAGTATAACCAGTTAACAGTTAGGATTGCAGTGCCTGTCCTTGGTGCTGAACGCCATCCACTCATAGCCAAGCATTCTTTTGAGTACAAAATACCTTCAAAAAATCTTAATCGTTTTGCTAAAATATAACGTATGTTTGAAATAGTTATTTGTAAGTGCATTGTCAAGATATAGCAAGACCCAGCGGAGAGCTCCTTGTCTAGTGCCCGGAAGAAAGCATAAACAGTCCAATCCACGATAGGACGGCATACAACGCGTTACGATGGTGCATGGATCAAAAGCGGTCTCTACCAGTTCTATGAAGGACTGCACCAATATATTGGCTGACCTGCTCCTATTACTGCAGTGATGTTATGGGGCGCTTTTGACCCATGATACTGTACTAGCGGTATGGCCCTGCTATTGTAAGACTTTCTAGCGGGTCGGCGGCGTTTGTTGTCATGTTTCTACGAACGCGGCGGTTTCTTTTCGGAGGGGAACTATAAAAGGTGTGGGGCTATATCGAGGCGGGACGGGGCTGTATCGGATTCGGGGTGGGCCGGGGCTGTATCGGCCACTATCGGGTCGGGCCGGCCTGGCGGCTATCGTGGCGGG